AACAACTCAGCACATGCATGACACTAATCACTAACAACCAGTCCGTCGGATGGGACTATAAATGGTGGCCCGTGTGAGAACTGTCCAATTTCGCACGGAAAAAATCCCTCTGGGTTTTTCGAATAAGAGCAGGCGCGTACACGCCGACTCAGAGGATAGGAAAAATTTATTCAAATTTTAAAGGTAGGGTCTCTTTATTAAGATATTTAGAAGGACTTCCAAATTTTATACATAAACCAAATTCTTAAACCTAGGCGGGGCTGATGGGGCTGACGGCGGCACAGTACCTCACTTCCGGTCCAGAATTGGTGATGCTTCACAATGAGTGTTAGGTTAAGGCATTATTAGGCATAAGAGTCGTCTCACAAAAACTAGACAGTTAATATATATAGGATAGACGGCTCTTTATCTAATCTATCCCCCTCTTCTACTCTTTACTCCACACTTTATCCCTTCTACTCTTTTTCCTTTCTGTTCTTCGTCTGCTGGATAACCGATACATCCGGTAGTGAAGCGGACGTAAAACCTATCAATCAATCAATCAATCAATCTTCAATTATAAGAAGTCTGTTTATTACGTTGAATAAAGTATTCCTTATTATACACTTACGATTCCGCCTGATATTTTGGCAAACAAGGCGGGTAGGTATTGATGGACCATTGACCTACAAGTGTCCCGGTCTGCTGCGAGGCGGTTACAAATATCATCCAATTTATCTTCAACTTGTGACTAAAATATAGTAACAGAAATCTGATGTATTTTACAACATTATACCGTCAACATTTTGTACACCAAAACATGAAAAGTTGTGTCAGCAAATAAAGCTTAATGAGTTCAAACGAACATGAACCAGTACGTTTTTATGATGTTTATTTATATTAGTATTGTAATCTAGGAACAGTGATATAATGGTCTATATTGTCTATCTTTCTTTTCTTAATCTCATAATCCATATATTACGAACAATATGTATACATTTGATAATTTTATCAACCTCGTTCTTTGACAGCCATAGATGTGTTTTGTGTAGCGTACGAGTAATAGCGGTACATTTCCTTTTAAAGTTTTGATTAAATTGAGCTTCGTAGATAGAATTTCAAATAGTAGTCCTAGGAATCGAAGGCCGAACTGCCAGGCTACACAAAGAGGTATTAATCATAATAGTATGATTTAATGCACCAGAAAGTTACATGTATACGTGAGATTTCATCAACACTTAGATCCACTTATGTGTATAGTGTTCGGTTATAGAATAGGGATTGATTTAAGCTCCCTAAATGTGTGTTTTATTGGAATTTTGAAGGTCTGACCTCTTGAAAACATCATTAGAAATCTACCAATTAGAAAAAGCAGAAAAGAAAACGTGATAAAACCTCTCTTAGACCATTCCTTAAGTTCTTAAGTTCTAGAATAAGTACAAATATTCACCTCAGTTGCATTTTCTCCGATTAGAGATTTTAGATCTTCCACCATAAACTGACAAATGCCACACAACGTGTCCTCCTCCAGACCCTCGCTCACTGGCAGCAAGGATGGGGCACCTGTCACAGAAAGTGGCTAGATTGTATATTTCAAATTTGACCACAACTGTCAGGATGTCATTTCATAACCATGGCATCATGTCACTCTCGGCGGCGACAAATACTCGCTTTCTATGATATATATAGTATAAAAACAAAATTACCGAAGTTGCACCGAGCGCTTTCACTCTTTCAGACTCCCCGAAGAACCCAAATGAACAAAAGCGTTCGGGGATTACAATTTCCGAATTTCTGTTGTATTCTATACATCATCACAATTATAACTGGAATACTTTTTCACTTACTTGTGTTTCATTGGAATATAAACAATATATTACATGGTACGTCTGATGTCTTTGTGCTATGGACAGCATGGACATTCCATTAATGTTCAACTTAAATTGAAGGGTAATTTAAATCAGACCCTCAATAAACTTTATCTCAGTGAATGTGACGTTTTTACCTGGACGAGATATAGACTGTTATAAATGTCTACCAGACAATCTGTACTATATCGGAGACATACACGTATACTACACCCAACATGTACTACTATATAAGGGTTTTATCCGGGTGTAATTTTATAAGTCGCCCAGAGTGATAGAAAACATTGATTTTTTTAAAATGATACAGAAATCAGATAGCATTTATAATCCTTTGTACATGTGTATATTCAATAATTATATATTTATGTTCGAAATTTTATATTTGTATTCAATAATTGTAAACATATTGCACATCTATTTACAGTCATTGGATACAAATATTAAAATTTCGAACGTGAATATAAAATTATTGAATATTTCGACGTTTGACACGCCATAGTTATCAGCTGGGAAAAAATATATATTGAAAAACGTTTTATTTATGATTGGGTCAAAGACATCCATATAACTAAGAAATTGATGGGATGGAAATTATTTCACTTATTTAAATAATGATGCCGTTGGTAATTTGTATCCTATGCTCACGTAGGCTATATAAATGTAAAGGCGGTGATCATGAACATTGACCATTGATATCACCCACCTTGTACATCAATCAGGTATGGATTTCATCCGCTATACGTTTTCCACATTTTCACAACTAAAACATTACAGTTTAACAGATACTTACTGTGTACATAACCGAAAGCCACAATCAAACATAAAAATAAGTTCCGATTCATTTTGAATGATTTGTCTATAAGTCACACATCCAAGCAGAAAAACTTCACAAGTAAAAAGACCATCACACAAATGCAAGCACACTTTGAACGACAGATCACATGTAAGTCATGTGATTTGATGACCCCGTGCGAACTTTGGTGTAATAGTCACGTGACAGTGTACAAAATACGACTGAGCGCGATGGCGGACGACAAAAATAAGCACAAACTGATGGATGATGAGTATGGCCATCGACAGTATGTTCCTCAACCTCTGTGTGGCAGAACAACATTCAGTTGTAACAAATTACTACTCTTCTTGTATCAGTTACTGTATCTGGTAAGTAGTATTTGTATTAGTAGGTTTTTACAACGAAAGTGTTGACGAAAGAGGTAACTTGCAGCACAGTAAATGCTGCAGTAACGTTACCGTAATGATATTAGTGTGGGGCCTTCTCATTTCTCATGTGTATTCTGTAAAATAAATGCGCAGTTAACAATAAGTCTATCGATAAGAAACAAAAAGGAACAACATATCTGTTTGAAAAAAGTTAAATATAAACTAGTATGCCATTCCTCATCCTTTATTGCTCCAGAAATAATTTGTCATTTACAAGTTTTAGTTCTTAGTGCTGCCAGGGATGTGTAGTGGACAACACATCCCTGGTGCTGCTTTACTTTCTTTTGTGTAATTTTTCTTTTATGCTGTAAATTCCTAATATTGTTTCATAAATGTATATATTGTTGTTTTAGATTATATTAGCATGTATTCTGTACATTTTTATTTTTTGCCATATTATTGGCATATATGTACATTAATAGACTGAAACGTCTCTTAAATTAATTTATATGCTGCATGAGCTTTATGTTCACATGACCTTTAATCTCTGTGCTATTTTACTTTTTATTACGCTCACTTCATCCTCGATACTCCAAGGGTTACGCTCACTTCATCCTCGATACTCCAAGGGTTACGCTCACTTCATCCTCGATACTCCAAGGGTTACGCTCACTTCATCCTCGATACTCCAAGGGTTACGCTCACTTCATCCTCGATACTCCAAGGGTTACGCTCACTTCATCCTCGATTCTCCAAGGGTTACGCTCACTTCATCCTTGATACTCCAAGGGTTACGCTCACTTTATCCTTGATTATCCAAGGGTTATATGCTCACTTCATCCTCGATTCTCCAAGGGTTATGCTCACTTCATCCTCGATTCTCCAAGGGTTATGCTCACTTCATCCTCGATTCTCCAAGGGTTATGCTCACTTCATCCTCGATTCTCCAAGGGTTAGGCTCACTTCATCCTCGATTCTCCAGGGGTTACGCTCACTTCATCCTTGATACTCCAAGGGTTCCGCTCACTTCATCCTCGATTCTCCAAGGGTTACGCCCACTTCATCCTCGATTCTCCAGGGGGTACGCTCACTTCATCCTCGATACTCTAATGGTTACGCTCACTTCATCCTCGATACTCCTAGGGTTACGCCCACTTCATCCTCGATACTCCAAGGGTTACGATCATTTCATCCTCGATTTTCCAAGGGTTACGATCACTTCATCCTCGATACTCCAAGGGGTACGCTCACTTCATCCTCGATTCTCCAAGGGCTATATGCTCACTTCATCCTCGATTCTCCAAGGGTTATGCTCACTTCATCCTCGATTCTCCAAGGGTTATGCTCACTTCATCCTCGATTCTCCAAGGGTTAGGCTCACTTCATCCTCGATTCTCCAGGGGTTACGCTCACTTCATCCTTGATACTCCAAGGGTTACGCTCACTTCATCCTCGACACTCCAGGGGTTACGCTCACTTCATCCTCGATACTCCAAGGGTTACACTCACTTCATCCTCGATTCTCCAAGGGTTACGCTCACTTCATCCTGGATACTCCAAGGGTTACGCTCACTTCATCCTCGATACTCTAATGGCTACGCTCACTTCATCCTCGATACTCCCAGGGTTACGCTCACTTCATCCTCGATACTCCAAGGGTTACGCTCACTTTATCCTTGATTATCCAAGGGTTATATGCTCCCTTCATCCTCGATTCTCCAAGGGTTACGCTCACTTCATCCTTGATTCTCCAAGGGTTACGCTCACTTCATCCTCGATTCTCCAGGGGTTACGCTCACTTCATCCTTGATACTCCAAGGGTTCCGCTCACTTCATCCTCGATTCTCCAAGGGTTACGCCCACTTCATCCTCGATTCTCCAGGGGGTACGCTCACTTCATCCTCGATACTCTAATGGTTACGCTCACTTCATCCTCGATACTCCAATGGTTACGCTCACTTCATCCTCGATACTCCAATGGTTACGCTCACTTCATCCTCGATACTCCCAGGGTTACGCCCACTTCATCCCCGATACTCCAAGGGTTACGCCCACTTCATCCTCGATACTCCAAGGGTTACGATCATTTCATCCTCGATTTTCCAAGGGTTACGATCACTTCATCCTCGATACTCCAAGGGTTACGCTCCCTTCATCCTCGATACTCCAAGGGTTACGCCCACTTCATCCTCGATACTCCAAGGGTTACGATCACTTCATCCTCGATTCTCCAGGGGTTACGCTCACTTCATCCTCGATTCTCCAAGGGATATATGCTCACTTCATCCTCGATTCTCCAAGGGTTACACTCACTTCATCCTCGATTCTCCAAGGGTTACGCTCACTTTATCCCCGATTCTCCAAGGGTTACGCTCACTTCATCCTCGATTCTCCAGGGGTTACGCTCACTTCATCCTCGATACTCTAATGGTTACGCTCACTTCATCCTCGATACTCCCAGGGTTACGCCCACTTCATCCTCGATACTCCAAGGGTTACGCCCACTTCATCCTCGATACTCCAAGGGTTATGCTCACGTCATCCTCGATACTCCAAGGGCTATGCTCACGTCATCCTCGATACTCCAAGGGTTATGCTCACTTCATCCTCGATACTCCAAGGGTTACGCTCACTTCATCCTCGATACTCCAAGGGTTATGCTCACGTCATCCTCGATACTCCAAGGGTTATGCTCACGTTCGCTCTCTGCACCCTTGGAAATCGAAGACACAAAGATAGCTTTTGGTTGGTCTCGGGATCAATTGCTGGGCCGAGATTCTTATGATGTACATCAAAGGATCAAACTAGTCGTCCTGTCTCATCAACAAGGTGCCACACACTGAGCCTTTGAGTTTTTTATGACATATTCCAGTGTAGAGAGTGTAAGCGAGTGTAACCCATGGAGTATTGAGGATGGTTATTGCTCGCCTCAACTGTTCCATGTTCGTTACTATGACTGAGCCCTACAGTAAATAGACCGACTTCAGGAAAGCTGAAAGTTTATTGCTACTTTATGGTACTTGTTTTATTTTTTACCAATTCCACCGAAAAAGAATAAGGAAATTTGATATAGGAAATATTACCCCAATAAAAACTATTGTTGTTTGAATTGTAAAGGGGTAGAAAGTGCTTCCAATGGAATCGAACCAGGGAGCCCCTAGGTGTTCCAGTTTGCAGCACTGCCAATTGAGTCAAAACTATATAACTATAACCTACCACAGAATATTTCTGTGTTTGAAGTAAGAAAAAATAGAAGTTTTGATATCTCCAATAAAACATAATTTATAGATTAATTAATTTGATAATAATATCTTGTGTAATGATTTTGCTGTTCAAGTTTTCTCATTTAAGTTACATCAATCACAAGACTTTCTGTTTGTTAGCCGTATCACTATGTTCTTCTGGTCTGTCACATAGCTGGTGAAACAAGGTAATTATAACACTTTTAATAAACTACAAGAATAATACATAGGGAAAATACCATCACATCTTAGATCATGATGAATTTTCTTTATTCGTGCTCATTAATCAAGTGGTCGAGTCTAGTACTATGACTAACTCCCAGAGTCTCACTAAGGGAAGATTTCATCCTAACTGATATGACTACTATATACATATGCATGTCACTAAATATGAAATAAAAGTTGAATTTTCAGAAAATAAATACAACTGCAATAAGAAAATGAGCCAGCAGTGTTGATTAACTGTATGTTTATCAAAAACCTAGAGTAAGGAGGACAACAACAATGGAGGTAGAAAATAACCACTAGACTCTGATGATGGCTATATATAGAGCTCAAAAACAGCTGCTGAAATATTCTGTCTTTGTTAAGTCAGACCATAAGTAAACCATTTATGCAGTTGACCTGATCTATTCATTCTATGAATTTAAGGTAATTTTTACAATGATATGCTATTAGATTGCATATTCTGTATAAACTATATGCTTCAAATTTTGCAGATGCAATTTGTTGATTTGGAGACTAAACCAAAATATTTTTTAGTTTCTTTTTCTAGCCACTTGTGTTACAATTAACTTCTTGATGCATGATAACAAAGAAAGTCTAACATGTATAAAATCAGATTTTTATTAAAAATCTTGAGTATTGTATTGGATCCTCAGAAGTCGTTGGTTTGTCTTCGATGGTTTATTAATGGCCATTGTCAGGGGTTGTTGGTTTGATGTGATTGGTCAGCTGGTGTATTTATGGTCAAGGAGACCTTATATGGCGTGCAGTCTTGGACCTGCAGTCAAGGTCAGGTGACCAGCCACCAGGAATAGTAACTATCCTGGGGATAGAAAGTGTGCTCATTGTGTCCAGTTTATGCTTGTCACAGCTATATTATCATCATTATGGGTTGTGCTACAGAGGGGAGGATCGAGCCACACTGGACAGCTTCAGTTAAATGGCCTTTTGTTCCTGGTTTGATGTGAAATTGACATAAATGGATTGAGATTACAGGCCAATAAAAGAATGAAGCTTGTGCCTTCACTACAGTTTTATAAAAGCTCTTGGTCAAAGCAAATTATCATAAGAATGTAGTTTTTGCATGCAAACAGTAACAAATGCAAGATAAATAAAGACATGAAGGCTGGTGATTTATAATATCATATGATACAGTATTAGCTGTGACTCACACTTAAAGCTGCTGAAAATGTTAATTCTGCAGGTCTCTGTGCATGATCAGTCCCAAGCTGATATCAAGATATTTATTTTGATTTTAATCTTTTCATGAAACCGTTTCTAAACACAATAGTGACAAGGTTTATTTTGTATAAATCAAGTCTCCAAACAGGCTGAAGCTATGTGTAATTAAAGCTTGTAAATCATACTACACTGGTGTAATGTAGGACATATAGTATAGGCAATAGCATAGGTGTGCTTCAACCAACTGTTCAGTATAAGAAATTTATTGTCATAAAAAGTTGATATCATTAGGAATTGGACACAGTGGAAAGCATATATGGACAGGAAAGAATGCCATGTTGAATATTGGAA